TCCTTCCTTCCTTCCTTCCTTCCTTCCTTCCTTCCTTCCTCAGTTTAGTTTGCATTTGCTTTTACTATTGCAAATAAAATCTTTAATAACAATTATAGAAAAAAAGGTGCTATTGTGAAATTACAAACAGAAATCAGGCTGATGCCAGGTAACCCCACGCTTTCATAAAAATCAAAACTATCCTTTTTCAAAAATGAAATCAGCCACCGTCTGAGTGGTACCAAGGGAGACACATTTGCTGTTAAAAAGCATGCCCAAGGACCTTTGTTGAATTACAGTTCAGATACACGTTTTCTTCTCAGCTGAGCTAGCCTGCTGAGATCAAAGAGCTTGCTAAACCAGATGTGTGCAGAAGTAGTCATCTTCTCCATTTGCGCATGCTTAATATTTGGCCATCCAAAATACAGGACCTGGAGGAGACGCAATATATTGGACCAAACGCTAGCCAGCTCAGCTCCATGCAAACCTCCTCTAATGCATTTGAACTTTGGAGGAAGGCCAAGGACTTACTCTAAAGTCTTTTTAGACTTGGCAACATGCTGGCTGGGGAATTCTGGCTGTTGAAGTCCACACCTCCCAACATTTCCAAGCTTGAAAAACACTGCTCCAAATGGTAAACGTGGTTTAACCACACTGCACAGTATTTCTTTTCGTATAAATATGGCAAAAGGTTTGCCGTAGGCCCTCCCATAAACCACGGGGGGCTTAGCACGCGGATATCGAAACAGAGCAGAATTTTGGACCTGAAGCTTTACACAGTCCTAGTTACAAAGCGAATCAGCCCGTGCTGAACTGTCTGCAAGAAGGTAGAGTTCTTCTTGAAGAGGAAAAACCGGTAAGCGAGAAACGGATGCAGTTTATTCTGTTTCACCAGATCGAACAACCGCCTTTCTTTTCTTCTTACCTCCACTTCAACTTTGGTAAAGAACTGGCACAAAGTCAGTACTAATGCCTGTTTGCTGGAAAAGAATTAAAAGATTTAAAAGGTTGCTCTGATGCATTCAGATTAACTCCTCTGAGGCTTCGGTTTTGAAAGCAAGCTAACCCGCCGTTTTAGAAGTTACACATCACCCACCTCCTTTATCTTTAACTGACCTGCTCCATACCTATTTTTGTGCACAACTATCTTGGGAAGCAGACTTTTGTTACGGCTAGCCTCTTCAGCTCAAAGGAGCTGTAGTCCAATCCATATGGAGGGGCAAAGGTACAGTTGACACTGACACCTCCCCTTTCCATATATTAAATCACAATATAATTTTGAATGCGTGGGTTGAGTGAACTCAGCAAACTGATATCCCCCAAAATCAGTTCACTGCAGAATGAAGACCTCTTAAGGCAATGTTGTCCAAACTTGGCCACTTTAAGATGAGTGGACTTCAACTCCCAGAATTCCCCAG